ATTGTATAAATGTATACGAGTACGAAAATTGTCTTCATAGTTCATAGTCTTGTTTATACCTAACATTTAAGATATTATTTGATTTTAAAAACAAAAATTGATAAAAATTTATTGACACGGACAAATTTAGAGAGATATTCTATATAATTGGTTATAAAGTTATTAGTTCTGTCTTTTCTTGTTGACAATTTATAAGAATTTTAGAATAATTATTAAATTATTATTATTTATTATGAATATAAATAATAATGTATAAGAACCGAAACATACACAAAAATGTAATAAATTAAATGTGCGATAAAATTAAAGTAAATAATTTTATTGAAATATTATATATTTAAATGTTTATGAAGTATTTTACAATTATAAATGATTAGGATTAAACTAATATTATAAAATAGATTAAACTGAATATTTACCTGTATGGCTGTATATAATATTATGTGTGTAATATTATATTATTTTGATGCGATTTACATAGGTATGTAAAGAGTAACAGTGCAACACAACAGAGTAATGACTATTACACTGTGTCCTACGTGAGCGCGGCGAACGCGGCATATGCGGTGCGATGCGAGCGAATATTATTCAAACTTATAAAAATAGATAGGATTGTCCATCGTATGCGATAAACGCGGCGCATGGTTTAATTATCAAATTGTTTTATTTTTCGCCGTACGTTTAAGCGAATAATGAATAAAACGTTCTGCACAGGTGAGTTGATAATATTAATATATTATTGACATACAATATTCGCCGCGCTCGCGTAGGACATGATTACGGGCGGCGAATGCGGGCAATGCGGCTAACGCGAATTCGTACGCATCAATCGCAAATTCGCGTTCGCAGGTCTTACGTAGGACACAGCGTTAAAGTATGGTTGTATTTGTATGACAACGGATTATAATTTAATATTTATAAATATTTAATGTTTATTCTGTTGACTGTTTCGTAAATTCAATATCTTCCCTAATAATAGTCTTCTATTAAATGTTATTTATAAAAATTTCTTATCGTTATCGACATCCGTTCCACAATTAGTTGTTATTCCTAATTTCCCAAACAACCTATAGGCTATAATTTACTATAATTATTATTATATTATTTATAGTTACATAGAATATAGAATTATATTTTTCATTATTTACACTTTACAGTTGAAATAATAAATAGCGAAAGGTATAATCCATATAATAATATTGCTATAAAAAAAAAATATAATTAAATAGGTACATTAAATTGTTGAAAATGAAAGGCCCAAGTACAAAAATTTCTAGGGGGCCTGGGCGGGTAATGCCACCTTCCCCCCCAGCCAGTCCGCCCCTGGTGGCCTAGTGAAATAATTCCCATTAGGTGGATGGTTATTATTACGATTATTTGGATCGTTTTGTCTTACGTTATTTCTACATTGCGAGGCATAATGATTACCATTACAATGATAGCATTTTATAACCAGTCTGTTAATGTTATTTGGTTGCGAATAATTATTTGGTCGTATATTATTTGTCCTTGTAAAATTGTTACTATTATAATTTCTTGTGTTACCGGTTCGCATATTATTCGTTCGCTGATAATTACTATTATTATTATTGCGTGGGGAATTATTATAATTTCTATCATTATCATTTCTATACTTATAATTTTCCCTCTCGGAATTATATTCTGCTTCCTCGGCTTTGGCTAACTGTTTTTCTATTTCAAGAGTTTTTGGACATTGTGATATTTCTATTGTTCTAATCGGATTTATTAGGTCCTTAATAAAAATTGTTAACGTTTGTTCTTTTAATGTTTCGTGTATTATTCTCGCTTCTGAATCTATTTTATTAAGTGTACTTGCGGTACATAATTCATAATATAATTTTTCTACTTTATGGCAGTACTCATTTACGTCCTCACCATTGAGCATTTTAATTGAATTTAGTTGTATTTGTAAGCTAGATGCAGTTGTTAGATTCTCAAACGCGTCTGTTAAATAACTTTTAATAAATTTCCACTTGGTCACATTTTTATATCGTATCATTTCTAACGCTCTACCAGTTAATCTGGTGGTAATATATCGGTGCAACACGATTGCGGACTTTTTACCTTTTTATATTTGAGGAAAAACAACACGATTTTTATTTTGAGCAAACACAAATATTTAAATAATTTTACCAACATTAATAGTAACTCAATAAGTATGTAAAAAAAAAACATATAATAAAGAATTAAGATGTACTCATAACGATGATAATAATAATAATTAATAAAAGTAAAAATAGTAAATTAGTAAAATAAGTAAAAAAAATAAGTAAAAATAGTAGTAAAAATTAGTAAATTAGTAAAAATATATGTATATAAATCACAGTAACTTATTATTACGTGTCAAAAAAAATAAATATACCTATATACATAACAAAAATCAAGTTCTTATAACTTTTTTGCACAAAAACGTGGTCCTAATGTCAGCAAATAATTATTTAAAGATATTTCTTTTTTTTTATATTTTTGCCAAGTATTTATTATATATGCAATATTCTCTTCTTGATCTTTACGAGGCTTGTTAATATTATTTTGTTTTAAACTATATATTTTTAAATAAGTTTCACTTTGGATATCTAATAAAATATGTAGAACTTGGTGAATAGATGGATGAGACGTATAAAAATTGCACAAAAATAAACGGAAATATACACGTTGCACAATATAGACTGTCACAATATAATAAAACGTTTAGATAATATGACGTGAGCATGTGACTGACGACTGCCACACTATAGATCTCTTTAACGTACAGTATTAGTAATTATCAATAAAATAAAATCCGGTACAATAGATATTATCGGATGTGAATACGTTGGAAAAGCACAGCCATTAACACTTATCAGTTATTATAGTAATAACATATTATTAGACACCATATAGTATCCACTGTCCGTAGCAATTGTGTATACGTAATACGTATACTATACTATACTATACTATAAGTGGGTTTCTTAAACTATATTCCTTTATTTAAAATTATTTAAATATTTGTGTTTGCTCAAAATAAAAATATTTAACACGCAATCGTGTTGTTTTTCCTCAAATATAAAAAGGTAAAAAGTCCGCAATCGTGTTGTTTTTTCTCAAATATAAAAAGGTAAAAAGTCCGCAATCGTGTTATGTTTTTTTCAGGTAAAAAGGTAAAAAGTCCGCAATCGTGTTACGCCCGTAATATATTTTACTAACGTTGGTGCATATTTTTCTTCGACTAGACTCACTGCCATGTCACATGCATTTACAAATGAATATATGTCATCCTCGCCCGTGCATAAAGGTATTAATTTAAATGCGTCCTCTAGTTTTATGGTAACCATTTTTTTATTTCGTAATTTTTTATCGAACAATAACTCCGTGTGTTCAAAACTATCAGTAACCTTACTACGAGTAGTTCTACCTGACTTATTATCTAAGCTACTACTTCTCGTTAGAATAGGTTTCTCTTTTTTAGTTTTTATTTTTTTTTTTTTTTAATTGATCCTGAGCCCGGCAACTGTGGCCATTAGCTATTAGTAGGTACTGTAGGTTTTTGTANTCATCTGCATTTTGTTGTATTTTTCTTCTTCGTTAGTTGTTGTTTCAGAATATGGTGTTAAAAGCCAAGGTCTTAGGGCGTATCCTGAATCTCCTACATCATATTAGTTTTTTTAAATATCAGGTTGATTCCAACACTTTAAATTGATTTTTTTTCTTATGAATAATATTATTTTACCCAGTAAATATATGCCTTTGTGTTCACGTCTATACAATTCCTCCAAGATATTTTTTATATCTGTAGATGAATTCCATATATGAGAGTCTGCTGTACTGCCAGGAAATTTTGCATTCACACTCAAAATATAAAGTTTAGAATCACAAATCTATTAAATAAAATAAAAGAACTAGGTATTAACTATTGATTAGAATTTGACTAGGTGTGCTAGTAAGTTATTTCAATCAGGCACGTATCCAGAAGGTCCATGGGGTCTTGGCTACATGCCTGAATATTGACTAAATCTTAACACATTTACCAATTGTACATTTAATGAGTGGTAACCTTTTCTGTTTACATAAATATACTCAGGTATTTCTGCATTCTGGTTGTTAGGAGGTACAATTGCAATATGTGTGCAATCAATGCAGCCCACAACTCCTGGAAACGAAGTGTTAATAAAAAATCTAAAAAAATAAAGAAGTAAAATCCTGAGATTAGTAGGCAAAACAAATTTTTGATTGAAAATTGTTATTAAGGTTTTATATAATAATTTATTTTACTCATTCCTAATTTGCTTGATCTTTTGCATATTATTAGGGAATTTAACCCATTCATTTAATATTCTAGGGTGGTTCAATGCCTCAACCACACAATTAATAGCTCTGGAAACAGTGGGTTGTGATACAGCCACATACCTATTGTTACCAATTGGCGTTTGATAGCATCCCGTTGCGAAAAAGTTTAATGCTAAAAACACCTGTAAAAATACTATGCATAGATAAATTAATTTAACAACTGCAGATGGATCTCCTCAAAAGCCAATATAGCTGTGCTAGAGGAGAGACTTCCATAAGGTAGGTAATAATATTGTTAGATAGGTACAAATTTTAACTATATTATAAATTGATTCGACAGATCAACTTAATTAAATTAATTAAAATAAACTTACTATAATAAAGTATTAATATATTTTTTTTTAATACAGATTTCTTAAGTTATTTATATTTGAATCATGAGTATAACAAAATCGTATAACTGTATAATCTTGTATTTAAGACATTGTTGTCCAAAAACTGTTCTCATTTTAGGAACAATGGCATTAGACTTAGATAAGGTAGAATAACCACAGATTATATTAAACTTTTAATTACAATTGTTATTAAATTATTTTATATAATCTGTGGAATAACTATGACTGTTGTTCTATGATCTATAGTTAAATAAGGGACAGCCCACGATTAAAGATATACTAAGGTATATTTTTAATCGTGGGACAGCCTAATGAACAATATTTTTTTGTCCGATAGCTAAGTATTTTTTTTTTATTTTAAGTGAATATAATATTTAGTTTTTTCCATGTTAATTGTTTATGAGCAATTGTCCAGCCAATTTTTAAATGTAGCAAAACTATTCTCTGCCATTTTATATAAATCATTTAGGTTTTGATTTTTTACTAAAATAACCGTATTGTCTGCAAAGTAGATTAATTTTCCCTGAATAAACTGGTGGAGAAAGCCATTAATATAAATTATAAATAATAACGGTCCAAGTACTGTACGTTGTGGTACTGAGTGAGTAATTAATATTAGCTATGTCACTCAAGTGATTATCAATTTAATTTCTTTGTGATCTTCAGTTTAAGTATGAGTTAAATAATTTATGAACACTACCTCAAATACCACATAAGTACAATTTATTTAGTAACATCACAGTCCACTGTAATACTGAATCAAATGCTTTTTAATGTCATGGAAATGCCAAGTGCTTATCATCAATATTTTCATAAATAATTTTAGTAGTATTATATTATAATAATGCATTGTTAGTTGACATATTGTTCCTAATGTATTAAGTTCCTTTATATGTATTTAACTTAGGTGAACATAGTAGGTTTTTTTACATTCAATTAATACCTACATTTATTTACAACTTTTTACTATTACCTTTTCGGAGAGTTTTATAGATGACGACCTTCTTTCTGGTTCAATGTAAGGTGTAATTAAAGCTATTAGCTGTTGAACTAAATCTTTGCTTAATCTATAATTTTTTACAAATAAACGATCACATTGTGTAAATGGGTCATACTTAACTGTAAACCCATGTCTTGGGTTATATGAAGCTTCTTCATCAACCATATTCAAAATATATAAAGCTGCAAGATCGTTGAAATCATCCATTTTTAAACATGAACTTCAAAAAAATATGTACTATTTAACAATTTCGGTGAAGATAAACGATGATAATAATAAAAGTCGAGTGATATGAAAAAGTCGTGGCACGCATACCCCCACGATATTTTTTCACACAACTTTTTCGTATATACACATTGAAGAATAGACAAAAACATATTTCATGTGACAAACGTGATTTGTCGTACACGACAATGCTATAACGAGATTCAAGAATCGACCCCCTGAAGCTAAATACCTGTAACCAACAGGGAAGACAGTTTTTTTAATAAAATTATTTTTACATTTTACTACTATTAATCAAAGAGATGTGAAATTTGCAGTTAAACAATTTTGGTTAACTATGTTAAATACAAGTACAATAATACATTATCAAGTGTTAAATTTGAATCCAATGATATATTATAATCATTGTATAAAAAAAACGATTCTGAGTGAAAACGGTCGGTCAGTCGCTCCGCTCAGAATCTAAAAGTAAGAAAATCGAATATTTCAAATGACTATAAATAGTTTAAAAAGTTGCTAAATATTTTTAAAATTATATCGTGTAAAGAAAATGCAAGTTCAAACAAAACTCGGAAGTTTAAACGCTACCTTGTATTTTATTGTTTTTACAGGTGAAACAGTGAAAACCATGTGGACCAAACTGAGGAACTGCCACAGAGATGCTCTACGAAGGCAAAAAAAAATGTTTAAAAGTGGAGCTGGAGCTGAGACAGTTAGACGGTGGAAATTCCAGAAACAAATGGAGTTTTTGTTGCCATACATGGAGAACAGAAAGCGAAGTGCCAATATAGTTGACAGTGATGATGAACAATCCGACAATGCAGACACTGAAGTTAGTCAAATTTTAGAGACACCACAGACGTCAATCTTGGAGAATAATTATGAACTGGAAGAAGATAATGAAGTGCACAGCAACAAGGAACGAGAAGATTCTGTTGAAAAATTAAAAGATACTCCTTCGTCAGCTGGTAGGAAATTTACTTTCAAAGAACCACAGAAAAAAATGAAAAAAAATGATATAGGCACCATGATTCAACAGTCTATAGCGAATCGCGAACTGCTAATAGTATTTAATACTATCTGCTAATAGTATTTGTGACTATAATATGGAGTGGAACGAAGAAAATACAATCCAATTTATTGAATTGTATGAACAAATACCGTTACTTTGGCATGCAAAACACCCTCAATACTATAATAAAATCAAAAGAAATGATGCTTTGGAACAGATAGAAAAAGAAATTGGGTGTACTGCTGATGAATGCAGGAAAAAAATGAATAGCTTGTTATCTGCTATGAGAAGAGAAAAAACAAAAATTAAAAAAAGTTTTGGAACAGGGAAAGGTAAGAAAGTTACATGTGAATGTAAATTTTTTAAATAGGTGATAATTATATTTTTCATAGGCGCAGATGAAATATATGAAAGCTCTTGGTATGCGTACAAGCATATGAAATATCTCCAGGATAAGGATACACCTAGTCAAACAACAAGTTCTGTGAGTATAAAATAGTTTATATTTTATGTAATTAGGAATAAGTTTAAGTTAAGTTAGTATCTATTAAAATACTTAATATAATATTAATACTTTAAATCTAAATTAAGACATACAAAATAAAAACAAAAAAATATAAAGTAAAAACTAAAAATAATCAATAATACTTTAGGTATCGTTCAAAAATAGATGGTAATTTTGTTATACCCAAATAATATCACGGAAAAAAAATTGTTATTTTTACTAATATTATGTTTAATTCAATCATAATTTATAATCATATAAATAACTGTACAACTATGATAATGTTACTATATTATTATAGTTATTGAAACTACACTAGCTATAATAGTAATATTTTTCCGAGATAACGACCACTACACGAATTAATACATTACTATAAAACAATTTTTAAAAAAAGCGGGTAAGTAAATGGATGTCGCTATGCTGTACAGATGTTTACGAGTGATTTACTGTAATGGATAGTATTAAATTTGAATTCAATGATATAATATCATTGTATACGAAAAACGATTCTGATCGGAGACGAGTTTTCAGTCTAGGATATTTTATACAATATTAATTATATTGTTATTATTTTAAAAAAAAATGTAGTTACCTATAAAATAAATTCCAAATTACTCAAATTAGATTCATTCAAGGTTAGGTTATTAAATGCTTATTAAAAAGAAGTCTTGTATCAAATTTTGAAGCTTATTTACCAAACGAATAAAATTCTATTGTCGTCATTTATAAAAAAAAAACTAAAAAAGATTGAAAATTTTAAATGTCCATAATTAACTTAAAAAGATTTGAAAATTTTTGAAAATTTTATCACGTATAGAAAACATTCAACATTCAGTGAAAATATCATGTTTCTACGGTATTTAGTTTTAGATTTACACCCATATCTAAAATAAATTTTTTCAAAATTTGATTTTGCGTAAAAATTCTCGTTTTTTGTCAATTTTTTTTTTGTTTTTCCCGGTGCTTTTGAAAAGTATTGGAAATTTCAAAAAATGACATCCCCAATGCACAAACTATATTCACTTTCAAACCGGAAAAGCTACTGAAGTTAAAAATCGAAGTATTATCTCGACAAGTTCTAGCGTACACAAGTCACAGACACACACACACAAAAAAAAATACACACACACAACATTGTGGCTCGGAATATAAAATAATTACTATAATAATATTAATACTTAATTACGATATTTTAAATTTTGAACAGATACAGATTGAAGAAGAAACAGACATACATAATATCCCAGTGACAGAAATCGATGTAAATACGCCTTCTACAAGCTCATCACTTCCACCACCGAGTCTTTCAACACCGACTCCACCGTCCTCAAAAAAAAGAAAAAATCCAGAAGATCATCGCTTAGATAAAGCTTTTGGACTTTTAACTGCTGCAGCTTCTGCTGCAAATTCTGACGAACAACAAAATTTTGGCAATTTTGTGGCAAACAAATTAAAAAAATACTCTGCTAGAACACAAAGTGCAATTCAACATGCTTTCATGGGTATCTTTCTGAATACAGATAATGGAATGTACGAACAGCCTTTGCCGCATACTTATGATTATCCTTCACGCTCAACAACATCAAACATGTCTCAGGTTTCTAATTTGTCATCCACCTACTCCACTCCAACACCAACTCCTCCAGAAGAGAGGACCAATACATCCGCACATCGGGATATTTTATATAGGTCATGGCAATAATAATAGCAAAAAAATTTTTTAACTCTTTGATGGATAAGGTAAAATTGTCTTTACCACATTGAATACCATACCTTATGTTTTCAACTCTTATTAGTTCAAATAATTCATCTGTAAATATTTGAATAAAAATGGAATAAGGAGTAGCACCATCATTTGTGTCAATATTTACTATTTCACTACCAATGAAAGGAGGAACTGAATTTGTGAATTGGTTATCTCTTCCAGAAAACCACTTAGTTGTTTTCTTATTTTCTTTGGCCTTTTTTGATTTTTTGATAGGGTCTGTGTGTATGTTTCTTACTGTACATGTTCTTTTTTTTTTATTTTTTGGTAAAATGGGCAAATTTTTTATTTTCAACACTTTAGTTTGTAATGGCACATTGCTTGAATCATTAGAACTATTTGGGTAAGTTATATGGCCAGATGTGGAAGGCCTAATAGTTATTGGATCATCAATAACATTATTATTTTCTACTAAATAATTTTGATGTTGTGATTGTTGTCTGATATTATTTACAAAATTATCATAGTTGTCTACATCATTAGCATCCACGACAACAATACTAGCTGATAAATCATCATATTCATATCTTATTTCACTATTTATATTACCCAGGATGTCTTCAATATGTTGAGGAGTTATATGTTCAATTTCCACGGTGTCATTGTCATTTTGTACATTTAGTATATCAACATTCAGAGCCGTGCCGTGGGGGGGGGGGGCTAGGGGGCATATGCCCCGGGCGCATGGTTTAAAGGGGCGCCAAACATTTTTTTTTTATAATATTTTAAACTTTACATAAATAAGATAGTATATAAGATAATATATGAGAAAGATTATTTTTTTACAATTATTTTGGACCATTACAATTTTTTTCTGAACAAATTTCTGACTATGTTTGAGGAGTAACAATTAGTCAACCAAACGTTTTATTCTTGTTATATTATTGGCTTTATAATAAATTATCGTATTCTTTATTTCAAAATCGACTGCACGTCGAGCACGCGAAAAAAGCGAGATAAGCGTTAGTAAATAAAAACCAGATACAAATTATTGCCTATTGGTATTCTTTTATATATTATTTTTACATTTTACAAATCACCATGTCATGTCAGTAAGTTGTCAGTAGTCAGTAGGTTATCTGAATCGCACCGGGCTACACGCTCTTCTTGTTATTTGTTCGTGTTCGTATAATTATACCGTGCACACTACATGTTTACATCGGTATACCACCCTTGTGCTGCACACAGCCTTAATTTAATCGCCGTACATGCTGCTAGTGTATCAGTAAAAATGATCTCGTTTTTCGGTATTGTACAAAATATATTTAACTATTTTGCTGGATCAACAAGTCGCTGGGAAGTACTAATGCGGTGTTTGAAAATTAAAAACGCACAGTGACACACGCTGGGCATCTAAATATAATGCAGTTCATTCGTTGTATTGTCAATTTGGCGGTGTGATAAAAGCTTTACGTGACATATCTACCAATCCAATTTTTGGCGATGGGGTTGCTAATGCAGAAAGTATATTGAAACAGTTTGATTTGGAATTTGTTTATTTTTTAGTCATGTGGGATAAAATATTGAATCAAATATAATAATATAATAATAAATTATTACAAATCTCAAATATTTCAATAGATCAGGCTTCAAAAATGATAAATTGTTTAAATGTTTCTCTCCAAGAAATGCGTGATAGTGGAAATGAACAAATTAAAACTGAAGCTATTAGTATTTGTGATAAAGTTGGAATAAAATCTGAATTAAAAATCAAAAGGACAATAAAAAGAAAAGTTATGAGTGGAGAAAATTCATCGGGTGAAGATATTTCTGCAGATCAATTTTTAACATTGGAATACTACAAAGTTCTTGATAATATGATGGCTCAAATGAAATGGAGGTTTGAATAATTATCAAATATTGCTGATGATTTTCAATTTCTTTCTGCTCATTCACTATCTGTTACACCAGTTGAAAAATTGAAAAAATATGCAGCTGATTTAGCTATCAAATACAACGAAGATATTGACCAGGAAATAATTAACGAAATCGAATTTTTTAAATATCAAGTAAAAGCAATTTTACCAAACTTAAACGCAACTGCTTTAAATATTTTAAACGCAATTAAAAAATATAAACTTGATTCAACTTGTCCAAACTTAATGACTGCATATAGATTGTTTCTTACCATGCCTGTTACCGTCGCTTCCGGGGAACGCTCTTTTAGTAAATTGAAACTAACTAAGACGTATTTACGGTCAACCATGTCGCAAAACAGATTAACCAATTCTGCAATATTATCAATTGAGCATGAAATAACAAAAAGCATTGATTTCGAAGACGCCATTGAAGATTTTGCTTCAATAAAGTCCAGAAAAATAAAGTTTTAACTATATGATACTTATATATGATACGCTCTTATGATACGTTTGTAAATATAACATTGTATCCCACATAGCAAATTGAAAATATTAATATTTTCAAAATATTTGTAGAAGGTATCCTGTCAAATATTGTACTGAAAATATTGTTGAATTAGCTTCAAAATATTTGGTCAACATATATTTGAAAACAAATATTATTAAAACCTTTTCAAAATGATTTGTATCAAATATTGTAAGATAATTTTTCATCAAAGATCTTCAAAATATTCGGTCACCATATATTTGAAAACAAATATGATTAAAACCTTTTCAAAACGATTTGTATCAAATATTGTAAGATAATTTTTCATCAAAGATCTTCAAAATATTTAGGCACCAAGTATTTTAAATCAAATATAACTGATATATTTTCAAAACGTTGTGTATCAAATATTTTAAGTTATTTTGTCATCAAACATTTTCAAAATACTTGGGTGCATAACCTTTATACTAATTCTTTAAATTTCACACCTGGTCCAGTAAAAATGCATCTATTTTCTACGTCAGTATCTTATCTTGTACAGGAAAGTATATCTTGTCGGTAAACGTTAGGGGTGAAAAGAAAAAAATACCAAGTAGTTTTCAAAATGATAGGGAAAAATTAATAACATTTTTTGAATACAATTTGGAGTATAATTGTACATAACTATCACTACAGCATGATAGTGGTTCTATAATATTCAGTGCAAAACAGTTATTTCTAACTAAGTAGGAACGTTTTCTAAGACGGAGACAATTTATACATGAGGGTGTACAGCGTCCTCATCTTAAGGAATTCGTTAAAAATAAAAAAATCTATATTTTCACAATTCACATTAAATTTATTAAATCATACTTAATATTTTCTTCTCTATGACTCTATAGCTTCTTATGCGGTCATAAATAAAAATAATTTAATATAAATTAAAAATATAAACCAACAATTTATAAAATATGTGTAGAAGTATACCTACGCAATCGTGTTGTGTTTTTTGCAGGTAAAAAGTTAACGATCGTGTTACTAGTTATGACTATTACTATAATAATTATATTATTATATATATTATATTATAGGTACTAATAATGTCTTGCTAATGTATAATAAAGTAACTCACAACGCCCTTATATTAGCACAAACGTGAAAGACTAATAATTACAACAATTACATTAATTCTATCTATCCATATCTATTGTAATTTAATATAATATACCAATTTATATTATACACATAAAAAGTAGGCAGCCACTAGCCAGGTAGGATAGGTAGGGTAGGTGTACTACTTTAATTATTTTCGTAGTATGATATTCCCTTCATAGGGTAAACATTTTAACAATTAATATGTATTGTAAATTGAAATTCGAATTAATTGATTTACAATATTGGGCCATTGGGGTATAATAATAGAAGTGAGCAGAATTGTATTCTGGATGTGCATAATATAATGCATCAATGATGCGTGAGTGTGTGTTCTTATACCAATTAATAATAAGTGCTTAGGTGCATAGATTAAGCATGTAAAAGTATCAGTTATATTCTCGATCAAGGACTTTAGAATAAAACTCGTACAGTTCCAACACCGTGTTCTCGATTCAGGTATTAAAGATATAATAAATTGTATTATTATGTACCTGCCTACCTAGGTAACATATAAAGGTACCTATAAAGAGTAACACATGAATAATAAACTAATCTTTTACATATTGTGCTATGAAAATGACGAATAATATAATATTATTGTAATAGGGATTAATTTATTTTGAGTAGTTGAATAATTTATATGATTGACGATTGTCGGATTGTATAATGATGTTATAATAATATTATATAGTCGGTGATCACGGAGTCGTCGCCAGTCGCCGCTATAGCCTATAATAATATTGTGTTGTTCATTAATTTTAACATAGACGATATAGTGGAAAACCCACGATGCATTATCGAAATGTCTGCACTCAGCGCTATCTCATAATATCTATGTAAACTGTACAGTCTGCCGATTGGTCGGCGTTCGGCAATCGCAGTCCGCAAGTTAAATAGATAGATATATATACGCTACATATTATACTTTTATATGTTATATATATGACTTATTAATAATTATTCCGATAATTTTTGACGACGCGATACGCTGATACCCTCCTATCCATCGTTTGCCGATGCCCGATACCCATCGCGTCTTTACTATAGTCTGTAGTCCGTACTCCGTGCATCAAAGTCCATTGTCCTTGTCCGTACCACTGCAGTATCGCGACATTCTCCTAAAGCCCTAAGTCCTAGTTCGGCTTATGAGTGCTTGTGATTTTATTAATTATTATAGTGTCTACGTCTTCGTTAGTGGTTGAAAACAGTTTTAAAACTCATACAACTAATCAAAACTATTACATCATATAAGTATAAAATACAATAATAAATCTCTCTCATATCTATTAAAAATAATATTTAAATGTACAACATACATTTTTTATCTTAAGTGTTATTGTAAGACTACTGATAATTGAGGTCCTAATAATTTATTATTACCTATCACTTTTATTTTTACTAATTTTTAATTATTGAAACACAGTTTTTGTAATTATAAAAAACTGTGTTTTATAGGTAAATAAATTAGTCTTGTTTGTTCACCTATTAGAATATGTACTAAAAAAAAAAAAAATAGGCACTATAATTATTCATACACATTATACAAGTACACCTAATACTACTATTTATTACCTATTGTTATCTTTATTTTTTTTTCTTCTATCTCGAGATTATCATATCCAACTTTACAGGGGCCAACTGTTATAATTTGCACTCTTCTATATTATTATGTTATAGACTATAGTATAAAATGAACGGTTCCTTAAGCTATAGAACAAAACGTCGGAGAATTGTGAATGAATTATTAGCATTTGAAAGCTCTGATGACGATAATGAATTAAATACTCAAACTTTAGCTAAAACTTGTTCTATTTCAAATTCTACTACATCTTGCTTTAATTTTGAAGATAATTTGAACACTAGTCAACATCTATTATCAACCAGTCCCTTTAATGACCAAAACCTTAAAGATTTGACAGAATCGATACCTACAGGTGATTTTATTAAAAACATAAATTGTACTCAAGAAGAAAATGTTAAAGACGGTCTTAGGAAGTGGGCTACAGATTACAATATTCCACAAAATTCTCTTAATGCTCTACTTAATGTACTTAAATGTGATGCTGGACTTACATTTTTACCTAAGAATTCTCGTACTTTGCTTCAGTGTAAATCTACAAAAATTACAAACATACGAAATGTAGAACCAAGAGGTTATTATTATCATTTTGGTCTAAGTGCTGGTATTATGAAATGCTCATTTTTATTTCCACTAACCGATATTATTAAAATAGCTGTTGGAGTTGATGGATTACCCTTATCTGCTAGTAGTTCAAGTCAATTTTGGCCTATATTAGCATATATAATGCCTCATCATGAACATGTGTTTCCTATTGGGATATACTATGGACAAGAGAAACCTAATAATAGTGACGAATTCTTAAAAGATTTTATTTCAGAAGTAATTTTGCTTACTACTAATGGTATTATTATTAATGGTTCAAAAAAAAATATTGTGATTGAAGTTATATGTTGTGATGCACCAGCTAGAGCATTCCTATTAAAAGTGAAAAGTCATTCTGGATTCTTTTCCTGTACACGGTGTACAGTTGAAGGCGATCATCTAGAAAAACGCGTTTGTTTTCCGTACTTACCAAATGGTAGTACTTTGAGGACACATGATGATTATGTATCAATGAAGTATGAAGAACATCATACATGTAACACTACTTCATGTATTTCATCAATTCCAAATGTAGATATTGTGCAGTTGTTTTCTATGGATTATATGCATTTGGTGTGCTTAGGCGTTATGCGTAAATTAATTAATATTTGGATGGGCAATACTAAAGGGCTGAAGAAAGTACGAATACCTAGCTGGAAAATTAATCAGATCAGTAACGCTCTTCATGGTATAAAAAAAAATCATATTACAAAAGATTTTTCTCGGAAACCTAGGGCACTTATTGAAATAAACCAGTGTTTCTCAACCTTTTTTAAGTTACCGCCCCCTTGAGTGTCAAAAAATTTTTTAACGGCCCCTACAATGTGAGAATTCTATAATAAGGGTTAGGTTAAGGGTATTTGGAAAATTTAAAAGAAAAAATTGAAATTATCTAATAACTCATGTTTTTATTTATTTTTTATATTTGATATATTTTTTATTTATAGTTCTAGTATTATGGTAATCTACCACCCAAAATTAGTTCACCGCCCCCCTACCACCCAAAACTAGTTCATTGCCCCTCGGTGACATTTTACCGCCCACTGGGGGGCGATATTGCCCCCGTTGAGAACCACTG